CGCTTTCTGCTCTAGTCGCTTCTTCTTCTTGCTGTTCCCCCGTCGGTTGGAAAATTTAAATATTAATGGTGCGAGAGCACACTTAGATGCTAACTCTTCCCCCACCCCATTGCCGCAAATCCCTTCTAGGAAGGCGAGAGCGAGGTAGGGACGCCGGCAAGAAAACATTTTATTGTTACTAGGTATGACTAATTCTTTCCTGCAGCTAGGAAATCCAGCCTGATTAAAAGCCTCATTTATTACCCGATAAGCAAATGAGCGCGGATTCCACCGCGCCGAGGAGCCTCCCGCGCGCCCAGCTCCGCGCGGCTCCGCGACCCCCCGCCAAAGGCCTCTCGGGCGTTGCGCGGAGGATGAGGAGGGTGAGGGGGGTCCAGGCCGCGGCGCGCAGGATGCGCGCAACGCTCCGCGCTCCGCAGCGGCTCCGCGCCCGCCGCTCCCTCCATTCTTTCATTCTTTGCATTAACAAACATCCCTCTCCTTCCTTTTCCTCCCTCTTTCCACCGGGCCGCGGCCAAGTGTCAGCGAAGTCCCCAAAATTTTTTTTTTTTTTGGGGGTTTGGGTTTTTTTTTTTTTTTTTTTTTTTTTTTTTTTGGGCCGAAAGAGCCGCATCTCCTAAAAAGGCAGCGGGGCGCGTTGCGCGGGGCGCAGCCGGCACCGCGGCCCCGCGCGGAGCTGTCCCTTTGCTTTTCCCTTTTAATCGACGATTAATTGCTGCCCGGTTCGTGTTTTTATTATTTTTTTTTATCTTTTATGGCCAGTATATTGCAAGCCCAGACGTGCTCGGCGCGTTCTCTCCCAGCAAACCCGACCAGTAATAACTGTTTGCTAATTGTAAAACCCTTATCCAGAATGAGGTTTGGGCAAACAATTTGTACTACTGTAATTACACCGTAAAAGTGTTTTAGGCTCGATTGTTCTGCATTAATCTCCTAAAGGCCTGGGAGGGACGCGCGGCTCGGCTGCGCGGGACTCTTTTGAGGGGGAAAGGGAGGGATTTGGGGTGGGCGCTGGGGGGGACACGCGGGACGA